GCCACCCCTCTCGACCCCCTCCCACGGCACGCCATCGTGTTGCGATAAATTTGCGCTAATTACGACCCCCCTCCGAAAACGGATTTGGTTACAGCCACCTTCCTCCCCCCTCCAAAAAGGGCACAAAAGACAAAAACGTAGGTGATATCAAACAAGACACTTGAATTTTAAAGGCACGGCCTGCTTCAAAAAGCCAAGGTGATTTCGCAGAAATGTGGAAAAAAATTCGTCAAGTGAACCGTCTATGAAGAGAAAATGCCAAGGGAACGTTGGAAACGCATTCGTCAGGCCTCCTCTAGCCTCAAACAACTGTAGAGGTAAAAGACCGAAAAGACCGCGCGCTGGGACAATTCCCGTCGGCTGATTCCCAGTAATGAACCCTATGACTCTACAAGAGACATTGAATGCATCCACTCCATGATACTTGCCCGGGAGCATTACTTTTGGCTGGAAGGCCGACTTTGGAGGCGGAGTCACTGGAAAAAGGGATGTACCACTGAAGCAACTTTGCGCCTTAATCCCTTTACCGTACAACTTTCCGCCGCGAAACTGGCACAGGGTTGTCCACTCCGGACCGCACTACCTTCCCACATACACTTTCATAGGTCATCGCGGACCGCTCCTTTAAATATTCGCGCACATCCAGATATTGCGTCCGAGCGTTCGAAACGCCTTTTCTCTGGGGTATGTGACAAGAGGATCGTAATTTGCCGCGCTGCTGGAGCGTCGCGTGCGACGTCCCGCCCGCCAAAAGAGTTTGGAGGTTTCGGACGATGGTTTCAGGCAGTAGATGGCGACAACATGCAATTAAGGACCGAAAACAGTAATGAGTGTCTACGATGACGGGGTCTACATGAAGGTGCTCCATTCGACAGGTTAAAACGAGTTATGAAAACGCCGCGCCCATCGCCGCGCGTGGCGGTGCGGCGAATTACGATCCTCTTTACCGTCTCCCTTTTCTCTGTTGCACCTTTGCACCAAAAAACCAGTAGTAATTGATGTTCGAGAAAAAACACCTGAAGACACGCCCCGCGTTCATTTCAGCGGCCTTCTTTAGGTATGTATGCCTTCCCTCGTGCAAGGATGGAAGATGTACCAATTTCGCTGCGCAAAAATTCGCGAAGAATGCGCCGCTCCCTCACTACGGAATCGCAGCCCCGCCCAGAGACCGCGGTGAGGTGATAAGAAGGAGAGCTGGAACCAGCAAGTGGAACTCGTCCGACCACGCCCTTCCTTCGCCTTGCGAATGTACAAGCGTGGTTTAGCATGGGGTTCTATATGGAGCATTGCGGAGAATTTTTCTGTTTTTTTCTTCACTTCAACATCACATACTATCTAAGCATTAGAATTTGAGCAGCACAACTACTCCTTTTTGAATCCCGAGCGTGCCTTCAAAAATGCTGCATCCGATAGTCCGGAAACAATGAGGACTACTTTCATTCTGAATGACGAGCAACAATTAACAAAACAAAAACACATCTAATTACATAAGTAATCGATAAACCGGGAAACAAAAACGATAAACCGATCAATTTTTGGTAGACGTTATCAATATTATCACAACGTAATCGAAATCAACTATTAAACCAATCGATAATTGATGTTGTCGATTGCACCCGTCTGTAGTAGTAATTGTAGTAGATGCCATCGTAGTTATTGATCCGCCAGCAAATCGATATTCTGCCTTAGCAGAACTCCTATCACAGAGTTATCAGTTCAACAAGTGAAACATGGCACACGCTCTTTAAGGCCTAATTGGAGCAGTAAAAATCACTATATAAATATGCATGGAACTAATATGCAATGAGCTCAGGGCTGCGTTGAAGGACCTACATCGACCGATATCACCTATAGCCGTATTAATCGATCGAAAATCAAAACCGCATTGCGAACGCACGCGACCACTTCACATGGGTGATCGGGGCCACGGTCGTTTCTGCCGACAAGATCGTCGCGCGCGACGGAGGCGGTTCTTATCCACACCACCACACCTTTAGCACACCCATTTGTTTGTTGTTATTACGGCTACTTCGCTGTCAATGTTACACCTCCGAATAGAAGACGCACTCACAGTTGGTCGCACATCCCTGTACGCGACGCGCCACTCATTTTCATCGCGCGCGACAACCCTGTCAAATGAAGCGACACACGCCCGCGTTTGCGGCAAGTCTATCCGCTGACTCTGGAGAGCCAGCGATTCAACGTCAGGTGAGTCCAAGCAAGGTTCTGGAGAGAAGGAGAACTATTGAGATCCATATTAGTGATAGACGGCTGCTGCACGGCACATCCAGATCGGGATCACCTGAACCGGGAAGATTGAACTATGATAAATACTATAGTCAGGTTCGCCTTGCGGGACAGCCGGCTGTCGCGCAGTACTAGTTCACAGCTCGAAGCCTGCTCTCTCCCTCTTGTGAAGCGCGCTGCGGACAAAAAGGTAGCAGAAAACGAGTAATACGATAAGATATGATTACGTCTTACACACTGCCGCTTTACATGGTTGGAAACGGTAGCATGGCCAGACTCATCCCACCTGACACGGCCCAGCCGTCGCAAAGCGCACTACAATTATTGTCAAAGGTCTTCTAATATATCATGGAAACGCATAGTGTTCAGCAATGGACAATACTCTCTTTCAATGACGAGTACCCAGAAACTTGAAAAAACAGGTTCTGGGCACAGATTTGTTCTGACCCACCCCACACTGGCAACTACGAGTCAGGCAGCATTTACTCGAAAGCAGTGGCACGATGGTGCAGAGTGGAGGTGGCTGTTCTGCCAACGTTACTGCGTGAAAGGTGTTGGCTAAAGCAGTCCTACACTCTGCCAAATGACTTTGGCATGACGCCGCCCAGCCGGTTACGTGACCCATCTGCCTTTTAAAATCACTCCTGGTGTGCAGAGGGCCGTTTTGATAAAGGATGGAGCCAACAGGGCGTGGGTTTTTTGCTGGCACCGAAAGAACTTGATGAGTAGGCTACTTGCTCAAGAACAGGGCAATCCGCCATGCCTATTACGCCCAACTTCCTACCTAAGGAGATTGCTGATGGTGCAAGTGAGTGGCCGTTACGCTCAACTTCCGTATCGAACATTATAAGAGAGAGAAGAGGTGTAAGAAAAAGTGATATCGTGTATAACAACGCAAGGGCAAGCATGGCTGTCGTGTACAACTCCGATCGGCAGAGGGTCCTATTCCGGGTACTTCAGAAAGTATTTTCCACCTTTTTCCCCATCATTGAATTTTTTTCCACCTTGTCATTAGGATTTGAGTCTTGCCACCCGACATTTTTGATCGTGGGACATGCCACTGAGATGGATCAATCAATAATCACCTATGTACTCGTCCGTTTTCTCATGCTCCTTGCACTGTGAGCAGAACTCGTCGCATGCTGGACACACAATTATGCCTTCACGTAGCCAACCATCGGTAATCTGTAAAGTTAAAGGCTACAGGATTTAGGAAGTCGGACCAGGAATACAGGGTTTCGAAAGGGCTCACCCGTCTGATATGGACGTGTTGACCGGCGTAGTAGCATGGATAGAAGTTTGAGTCATGTACGGCTACATACAGTGTACCATTTTGGCAGGAGTGCTGCAATGAACACTTTATAAAAATTCACAAAAGGGGATATGATGTGCACTCATCCCTGAAAAGGAGTAGGCGTGGCATTCGAACATGTCACAGAACGGAACTCGTGGGATACCAGTTTGAGACAACTGTCATCTTATTCGGCGTTGGACAGAGACATGACCACAATTGTGCCAAAATGAAAATATCTCACCAAAGGCATAGCCACCGCCACGTTTGTTGAAGTACGCAGCCACGCCTACCCCATTTCAGGGATTTCAAGCGTATGAAGTAGTAAACATCAACGCGTACGGTCTAGAGGGTAAACCCTGGGTCGAATGCGGCTCTAGACAAGCAAGTCCCGGTGCTGCAGGGCTCAATAGGGGCAATCTTTCAGTTTGCTGATTTTTTTTCATCAGTTTCTGTTAACTTCTTGCCCATCTCACCTTGCTGAAGGGTTTACAGGTTCTCCCAAGGTCGATAATGACCAACGGGAGCCAGCGAAATACACCCAGCAAGCCTCATAAGCCTTTCACCCTTTACAGTCTATTCATTGGTGCAGGACTTTCCTTGAATTATAAGAACGCTGACTTTCACATCAACATAACATTACTCTTGGGCGGCAATAGTAATTACAAGTTTGTTAAGTGTACAGCCGCAAATAATAAGAAGAAGAAGGCAGATGGGTTGCGAGTTCTTCTTTGCCCAACGAAATTACCGCTGAGTGCGCCTTCCCGACATTCTATGGGCCGGAACTCATCACGGTTGTGAGTCCATTCAAATTCACTTCTGGGTGGGAGAGAATGCGTGGTCACCCCATAAAGGGCTTGGTAGCTTGGCAGGCAGCTGGCTCGATAATTCGGTACTCGTGGTAATAATGTTAGGCGCTACATAGTGGGGAAAATGGCGAAAAAACGAAGTGAAACGGTCGAAAACCTGAGAAGAAAAGCCTACGACTCAAAAGGCAATTTTGGACGAGTTTCCCGTAGACACCTTGCCAATAACCGCTACGGTAGGTGCAGCTGCACGTATGTACTCACATATCCATGCAGCACCGCAGCCGCTTCATACCAATCCCTTCGCTTCATCTTAGCAAATGAAGCAATACGAGCGTCAGGAACGGTCGTCCATTTGTGGGCGGGCGGGCGTGGTGGGCGTTCGGGTCGGTATGTTGTAGCTTGATAGGCCCTTATAAGGGTACCTTCCTTGGAAAAGGCGCTGCGCAGCGCCTGCTCAGGGTCGCGGAATTCCGTCCTGCCAGGCATGTTAATCCTACTCGTCTTAGGGATTTATCGTGCCAACTGCCTTTAATGCAGAACGCCTTATTTTTTACATTTCGCAAAAATTAACAATAACTACCAAAAAAGGCCATTAAAAGCTACTGAAAACTGTCATACTTCATAACAACCGGCCATATAGTGCAGCAACGATCTCACTCGACCACATTTTCGCTCACGCCATGGTTGTTTGAAGTCGAAACAGCGTGATGACGTACCATACACCTGAATACGACCCGATTTCAGAATTTCTATGGATAAAGAGAGAACAGTTACCACGATACCTCAAGGATGTCCTCGCCATCGCGATTGTTTCCTTCAAGTTCACAGCGAGAATCTTGGCGTATTGTCGAGTTTGGCAGTTTCCATTGGAACTCCTGAGAAAAGAAGCTCAATATTATCAAATAGAGAAATTCAAGCCCCAAAACTGCACACCTTTCCAATCCCGAATAAGACCTCCACTACGCATGAATGTTTTAAAGGTTACCCATCCATACTGCAGCTTTACGACGGGTAATTATCGGGTACAAAAATAATATACTTCAGGAGGGAAGTCCCACGCTGTTTGTGTGGGTGGAGACAGAGGATAACCTCATTGACGCTCCCCTCCTCCGTTTGAAGGACGTGCCAATGAGGTTTTCTTCTGTCTCGGCCCACACAAACAGCGTGGAATCATCCATTACGCGCCTTCAGTAAGAACTGCCACAGAAAATAGCAGAAATACTTGTTTTCTTGGCTGTTTGTTGTCTATTGGTCGACTCTGTCATGCCTTTCTACTCTATGTGGTCCAGTTCGGCTCACACCGGGTCGTGGTGCACGCACCGCCCACTGAGAGCCAAGTTTGGTCTGATTTGTTTTGGGTATAGTCGTTTTCGTGGAGACGATGGCGCATGTCAGTAGGACTGTTTGGCGCTGCGCCAACCAATTTTCCACTTAATGCTGCCGCTTGTCTGCCTCAACAATTGGTGAAGGACGGACTGGAGCCACCCCCTCCCCCCCCCAGCCCGTGCCCGAGACGCGGCAGCCTTTTCAGCGAAAATGGCTGCATAATGTATCTTGGTCTATCTGAAAGGCCTATTGTTCAAATAATGTCGATTTTTAGACTGATTAATAAAAGACATAGTACTTTACACACCTAACGATAAAAAAATCTGTGCACTGGTTCACAAACCTGGCTGTATGGGCAGAAGTCAGCGAGTTCCACTGTACCCCCGTAATGTTTCGCTCCTTCTGAAGAAGACCACCTGTGATTCTCGCGAAATTCCGGAATTGTATAGGCAGTTCCTAAAATTTGATTCAATTTGAAATTTTCAGAAATTCCATAGTCCTGCTTCTCTTTTCGTTTCTCTTTTTTTTCATATTTTTCTCAACAGTACTGTTAATTTTTAACAATGTCCATATGCCAATGAGGCTGCCAGGTGAAACTTTCTTTGACGGTCTTTGGATTTATGCCCTGAAAAAGGCCGTCAAGTTCCACTTAACAGTCTCGCCAGCACCGTGAATTATCAAAATTTCCGTATTTGATTTTCAGAAAAATGATTACAAAAAATATAGAAATCGGAAAGTACTTGACTTCCCAAAGCATACCTTCTTATAGGGCACAAGATTGCAAATCGCCAGTGAATCTCGTTGTGAAGTGCACCTGAAACCATTGCTTTAGTGCTTCAATTATGAGCGTATTCTATTTTCTCCACCCTCCCACCTCAGAAAAAGGAAAATAAAAAGTGACGTGAGGAATGAGC